TTCCCCTCGGCAGGAGAGGAAATCTCTCGTTTTTGGGAGCTATTATCTTTTCTTTCAGACATTTCAGAATAGAGTTGTTTGGCACGTGGCTTCTAGCATCTTAAAAACTTGCTTGTAATTCCTGTAGCTTCTCATATTCATAAACTGCCAGGTGAATATGTACTTAAGTTTTTGCTCATATGTCTTGATATTTTATTATACAAGTTAAAATGGAGTTGCTTCACAATTTTAATTAGTTTTTAGATGCAGGTCAAAATTTAGCATTGATAACTATACATTAGGCTTATGAATTTAGGGATTTTGTTTGAAATGTTAAATGTAAGCTGGAGTGAGATCTTAATTATCATATTATGTTACTAATAAGTAAAATGGGTCTGTGTCCCCCCCCAACCATGATCTGTTATAGAAATGTTTTTGAAGTGAATGTCTGAGGATTTTTTTCTGTGCCTCTCCAATCAATCAGTTATTCCTCCTCCATTGAACGGCCATTGGCGATTGCAGCTTGTACGAAGTTGACTCTGCAGGAGCGTGTATTGCTCCAGCCTGTTCTGTGTAGGGGCTAACATCCAAAGTACATTTCTACCCCAAGCCTGCAGTCAGATTATGGAGCCTGCTTGTTAATTCTTGCGATTATGTTTACTTATTAACTGTTTGCAGTGAAGTAAAGCTTCATGATATGTGGCATGGTGAGAGCAAAGATTTTCCTAAGTAAGCTTGCATTGACTAACTAGAAATTGTCCATATGTCACGGTATTGACCATCAAGATATATTTTCCTGTTTCTTACACAAAATGTGGGTTAAAGTGTACACTGGTGTACTGCTGTTGGTTGTTATTCTTTTAAATTTGTTTTAAAATTCACTTGGGCATAAGATAAGGCAGTATTTTGTATGTAGTTAGTGGGAGCAAGTACTCTGTTGTTATTAAAATAGTATCAGATGAACTGTTAAGGAATTGCTCCTTCCTAAAAATGTGTGTTTATCTACTAGGCAGTTTTATGATGTCCTTTTGGGCACTAAGTGTGCATTAAAGTGCAGGGTTAGATTGATTTGGAGTAATTTCTTTTTGAAACAATTTGTGCCAATTCTTTTTCCTCTCCAAAAGAAATGGTTTCAGAGCATGGGCTCCTTGCCTAATGTCAATTCCATAAGGCTTCTCTGTTGTGTGTATTTTTTTTTTCTTTTTGCTTTGCTCACCTCCTTCCCCCAATAACTGGACTTTTCTGTGAGGACGATGTGCACCTATAATCAGGCATTTCTTTACTTTAAGGTTATTTGTCATTTCAGATAGCATGGACCAAAAGAACAGGCTTGAGTGGGGGAAGGCAAAGTTATATAAACTTTATTCATAGTTAAATATTTGCTTCCAGGAAAGGTGAAAAATGCTTTGTACTTTTTCCTTCGGCTTTTTTCCTCTAAGAGAGCTTGTCATGCAACAACAAAAAAAGTGGCCAAAGGCAGAGAAAACTCTTCTCTTTTCCATGTTGGTTTGTTTTTATTGTAAGACATACCTTTCATGTTTTATTGTTATGAAGTTTAAACCTGGCCTAGAGGTGCCGATCTTTAGTGGAAACAGCTGCAGAGTTGGTGTCCCCTGATCAGGTGGGACTTTCTTTGAAGCAACATGTTGCCTTTTAAAAGAAAATCGAGCGTGTGAGAACTTGAACCTGTGAAACTCATCAGCAGGCCCACCATTGTTTCTCTCTTAAATAACTGAGATAGCTGACTTTAACTAAAACATTGACATTTAAAAATTATTTTCTGTATTATTTTTTCTGAAGAGAATAGTCTCTTTTTTTGTGTCTTAAAAATACAGAAACAGAGAAAAAAAACACTCTTAAGAATTGAAGATGTAGCAGCCCAATTTAACTAAGCCCATAAAGCACACGCGGTCTTTTGGCTAGTCTGAACTGTGATTTTCGTCTGTACTTATTCTTGGCGGTAAGTGCCCTTAATAGGAGCAAAACTGCGTGGTTGGGCATATACCTGAACTTAAATGAAGTCTAGAGATTCAAAATTTTCTACTCGATATTGATTGATGTTGAAGCGTTTCTCGTCTTTGTAGTTGAGTGATACTGGTGGCAGTGGGCTTAGCGTCTTTCTTGGTCTACTACTAGGAAAAGTTGAGCATCAGAGAGCTTTCTTTCCATGGGGGGAAAGTAACAGAGACAGGCATGGAGTTAGAGGGACAAGAAAAATGCTGAAATATTTTCCTTTTGGGCTTTTGATTTGATTGCCAAAAAATTGCCTTCCAGATGGAGAAGACCAAAAGCTCTGATTCTAAGCCTTTATGTTTTTACTGGCCTACCTCCTCATCCCATTGCCTGGTTTGAAATCTGTAAGCCAGTCCAAATGCTTTACCTCATTTTCTAGTACCAATTTACTGTCTTACTCATCTTCCAGCTGCAAGGGGGTGAGGCAGGTCGCTTTGAGATGGAACCCTGTGCCATTTTGTACACCCAGCAACAGCAGTTTCTTGCCGAGGAGTATCCCTTTCTCTCAAGTTCTTGAGTCCCGCCTACCAGGTAGACTTGTGTCTGTGACGTGTGCGGTAGGATTAGTTGGGAATGAATCTGCTCAAGCCCTTCCGGCCTTGTGTAGACTTGTTCCTGGTGTTCTGGGCTCTTGCACGGGGAGGACGGTTTGTTTTTTGGCTGCATCTTACTTCACTGGCAGTAGAAATCTTGACACTCCAGTTTCCTTTGGGCAGTAGAGATTGTTTATGGGTTGAAATAGTAGGGGAATCCACTGTCAGGACATAGAGAGTATAGTGGCCAGACTTTGGAGTCTGGCAGACGTGGGCTCAGTTCATTGCTCTACCGCCAACTAAACAGAGTATCCTTGAGCAAGTTATTTTCTGCATCTAGAAAATGGGGGTAATGCCGTATCAGGTTGTTTGGTTTAAAAGAGAATTTTTGGAGGGGAAGAAAAGAGATTGTTGAGTATTCATGGGAAACAAATGTTAGTTCCTTTTCCCTCTCATTATGTCAACCTTGAATAGGTTAACTATTGTGATCTGTAAACTGATTGGTTTTCCACCATTTTATTAAATTATATGGAAATTGGGATGACATGAGCGATTTTCAGATATTGTATTTTGAAGTTGGGCACCAAACCAGTACCTAATGCGGGATTTATTGGACAGAGCAAAGTAATGATTTTTAACTAAAACTTGTATTTGTATAAGATACAGTCATAGGAAAGAAACATCCATCACGGTCACATATGTGGAGGGGAGACTTACCAGAAATCTCCTGGGTAAATCGCATAAATGCTTTTCTTCAGGACAGCCTCAGCTGGGTTGTTGCATAGGTGGATCAAAAAACGTGTTGATTAGTTTGCTTGCTCGTGATGAAGTTTGGAGCAGAAAGGTCAGGTTGGGTTGACTGAGGAGTACTTTGAGATGTTCACACTGCAGTAGCCCAAAATCATGGTTAGACAGAGAAGAAGCTCTTGGAATTTCAACAGCACAAATTTGAAAACCATTAAGGCAATTGGGACTTTTTTTTTTTTTTAATATTTTATTTTTTCCTTTTTCTCCCCAAAGCCCCCCAGTACATAGTTGTATATTCTTCGTTGTGGATCCTTCTAGTGGCATGTGGGACTCTGCCTCAGTGTGGTTTGATGAGCAGTGCCATGTCCGCGCCCAGGATTCGAACCAACGAAACACTGGGCCGCCTGCAGCGGAGTGTGCGAACTTAACCACTCGGCCACGGGGCCAGCCCCAGGGATTGGGACTTTTATGTGGTGCTTAATTGTTCAAGAGATTGGTGAGGGACTCTGTTGGGCCATGGAGCAGACACTTAGTAAAGAGCATGAGAAGACTCTGAAAGGTCTGAAAACAATTGTCTGTCAAATCTGAAAAAAAAAAAAAAGTCTGTGTGTGTGTGTGTGTATATATGTGTCCATCTCAGCTTTTGGCTCTTTTCTTTGGCATGTGTAACTCACTTGTCTGATATGGAAAAATAAGTTTATCTCAAAGTTTGGGACGTATATCACTACAGTATGTGAGATGATTTTCTTCTGAAGTGTACCACAGACAAATTATTTTTATTTTAATGGTTTTACATTTGTTTTAACACACCTTAGGAAAAAATATAGCTAGCACTCAAATCTACAATTACACCTGTATTATTTAAGTTGAGGCTAAGTTTCTTTAATTAAATATGTGCATTGATTTTCTTGTTAAGGAGAACAGTTAAGTAAATAATTGTGCAGGTGACATGTGAATTTAGCAAAAATTGTGACAGTAGCACTAGAATGACCAAGATTTGAGAAATATGTACTGGTAAAAATGAAGATTTGGTCTTTTTTTTTTCAGGCTTAGATTCCTGTGAAGGTTGATTTAACATTAGGTATTTAAAATTTTTTTCTACCAGACTATTAGGCTTGCCTTTGTTCTTTTATTTTGAAAGATAGTGGTTAAAAATGTCCTGTGAATAAAATGAGAGGAGAGGATTAATCTCCACATTTGGGGCTTTTGAGGAAGTGCTCACCCTCTGTCTGTACACTCTGGCTTGTGCCTGACTTGTGACAACCTTTGGGAATTGTTCTGGATCATTTCTTTCCATCTTCCTCAAAAAGTAGCCATCACTCAAAGTGTTGAAATGACAAGGGGAGCTTCCTGTTGACATTGTTCATCTGATGTCCTGGCCGTGGCTGCTCCATGGAAGACGGTAGGAGAGCCCAAGATGCCGGGGGCTACTTGAGGGCCATGTGGAGAGCGTCTGCTCAAGAACTGTCCTGTCTTGTTTCCCCATCCCCAAGACTTGTCTAGACAAAATGAGGAATAAAGTTTTTACCCCCTGTTGTGGGCAGAGGGGCCAAAGGCATCTGTAAAGGCTCTGACAACAAGAAAGAAGGTTAGAAATGAGAAAACCAACTCTATACCAAGTTATGAAAAAAAGATCTGTTTTATAGATGTTCACATTTTTGAAGTGTTCATTTTCTTTTTGTCCAGTTACTCTTAGGAGATCTAACATGTTTTGCTCCCTCTTTGTAGGTACTGGCTTTGGATTAGGACTTGTTTTCTCACTTACCTTCTTTAAAAGTAAGTGTGATTTCTACTCCCTTTTCAACATAATGTCCTGGTGTGCAGGGACACTTCTGGAAGGCACATCTCCGTGTCTGCCAACCCATCCATTTATGGGTCTAGGTAGGCCACTGTAAAGTGAGCTAGACAAAGAATGTGGACTCAAAAGAGGTCAGAATGGGTTGGGCATCTCCAGAATTCCTCCTGGGCGTTGAGTCAGGGTGCCTGATATCCTAGATATGGTAGCATTTTAAAAGCTGTGCTTGATGCCAGTGAGTCATTTGGCCAAATCTACATGCTCAAGCATTTCTAATTAATTACAGTTTTTTCTAAAGGAACTTGAAAATGAGAGTCCTGCTGGTAATAAAAACAAGTGGACCAGACACACGCAAACTTTTTGGCCAAAAATTCTCCTAAGCAAAGGGCAGGCGATGTCCCTTTCATCTGTGGAAGAACTTCTGAAGTTTGGATTTTGACTAAAAGCCAAGGGGGCCACTTTGACCTCTTTCCACAAAGAGGTGGCGTGGAATACATAACTGGACAATCATAATTAGCCCAGAGTGCCGATGTGAAATAATCATTCACAGTGTTGGCTTAAGGAAACCTCATGGCTTACTGTCATCAAAACATGTAAATATTGGTGGAATTCTTGCATATTTCTAAAACTCAAGCACCTTACTGAAAGATATTATTTCTGATAAAATTAAGAAATTAGTTAAAATGAGCAAATGATTAGAACTGACATAGAAAAGTTATAAGGTTCAATTGTGTCTACTGTTTTCACACTGTACCACTTATTAATACCTTCAACCTAGCAGCAAAGGTACTTAATAAATATTTGCTAAATTAATAAGCTTACTGATGATCCCCCACTTCCTTTTTTGGCCATTGATTAAATAGTGACAAAAATGTGTAGCATGTTATAGTCATCAGAATGGTGCATGTTGAATATTTATTCAATCCTAAGCAAGTGTTATAACCAGAGAAAAAGCTTTATCTTCTCTTAATGGTTCCCTGTTGGGATTTTCCTTTTTCTGCTCCCTAGGAAGAATGTGGCCATTAGCCTTTGGTTCTGGCATGGGATTGGGAATGGCCTACTCCAACTGTCAGCATGATTTCCAGGCTCCATACCTTCTACATGGAAAATATGTCAAAGTATGTACAGAATTGTTGTTTCTCATCCTTGTAAAAGAAGAAGAGTTTCTCCTGTGTCCCTGAAGAATTCCTTAGAGTGCATATAATTAATAAACTGTGTGTGTCACTGTGGCCCCACTGAGATCCTCATTGCCCTTTGGCCTTTAGTGATGTTGACACCACTTTGGTGCCTGAAGTCCTCCCCTCCCCCGTACCCTGGGATGCATGTGTGCTTGCAGATGTGTACTTGGATGGGAGCTGATTGGAACTGACGGGCCTGCCTGAAAGGTTATCACTATGGTAAAGTAGATTTGTGTGAAATATCTGTAAGGAGCGCTTTTGTTCAAGATCTCAGAGTCCCCTGGAAACATCTCATACATACACTAACCCTAAAGGCTGCAGGGACTCAGCCGTTATTGTGCTTTCGTGGAAGAGGGCAGGTTTTTGACTGTAAGTCCCGCGTAGTTGTGCCAAAGTCCTTGTCTCCAGATGGATTGTGAATGATGCGGACAGGATGAAAAGTTCTAACACGTGCCTCGAGAGGGAGGAGAGCAGCAGCCTTTCCCATTGCCTTACTTCAGGGGACTGGTTATCAGGGAGTTTAAGTGAAAGATCGTGGGAGGCTAGGTGCTCAAGGACAGAGGTGGTATTTGCTCTTGTATCCCCAGGGCCTGGGACAAAGTAGGCACTCAAATAAGTGTACAATGAATGAATGAAGTAAATTGTATATCCTGTTAGATGTGTTAATGGCCTCAGCCTTACCGAGGCATAACCTTTATGGCAACACGAGTTTCTGCGAAGAACTTCACATTCCCTGGATGTGTAGAATCATCGACTTTCTAGGTTACCCTGGAGCTAGAATCACAATGATCTGGGCAGCAGCAGGGGCCGGAGGAGAGGGCACAGGAGCCGGGAGACCTGGGCGAGAGTCCTGGGCCATCGCTGGCTTCCTGTGTGATCTTGAGGTTTTCTCTTCTGAGATTCTGTCTTCTACCTAGAAAATGAGGGTAATATTTCTACCCATAGCGTTGGTGGGAAGATTAAATGTGAAAATGTTTTTAATCTGTGAGGTGCTATATAAAAAGAGGTGTTGGTTTATTATAGTTGAGGCCAACCAAGAAGGGCGATTGACTTGTCATCGTTCCACCATAATAACAGGTAGAGCAGAAAATGTGGTACAAATGAGTGTCCCAATTCTGGTCAAAAGCTGTAGCCACAAGAGTCGCCAAATCTCAAATGACAATGTCCCGCCGCAGCTCAGTAGCCTCTATTTTAGAACGTGCTCTGACTGTCAGCTGCCTACCGACCTCTGCGTGCTTGGAAGGAGAATTGGGAGCAGAGGGAGCTGGCAAGCTGGGAAGCCTGGCGGGCCTGTGGCTGCCCTCCCTGCTCCTGAACCGTCTCTGCGCCGAGCCAGGGTGGGGCAGTCAGAGGGACAGTGCAAGAAGAGGCGCAGCCGTGTGGCACCAAAGCTGCCGACGGGCAGGTTCCACTGTTCCCCGACTTTTTTGGCACCACAGCTGAATTTAGGGGAGAACAGAAAGGAACAGGGAGAGGAGCTTCAGGTCTTTTAATTATTTAAAATGTTTTCGTTGTTCCAAACTGAGTTGTCATGGATAATGGCTCAGGGGTGATTATATGCATATTATATGTTTAATGGCTGGGAGTTACTGTGGAAAATATTGTTACGTTTTTTACAGCCTTATGTGTACTGCTCCAAAATGGCCTTGTAACTTTATCTGAACTTGAGTCTGTGCCTTGATGTTGTCATCCTCCATTCTCTGAACAAAGGAGCAAAATCCCACGTTGGGGCCTTTTCAGTGTGGTTGTATTATGGTAGTTGCTTGTTGAGTGCCTGCTGTGCCCTGTGAGCCATCCTAGGTGCTGTACCTTTATATTCTTTCTCCAGACCTCCCTCCTAATAGATTTGTGAGAGAGGTTTTATTATCCTCAGTCAGCAGATGAGAGAACTGAATCTTACTGAGGTTAGGAAACTTGCCAAAGATCCTATCCTTAGTAGACTGTTTGATTCCAGGACCATGCTCTCTCCACTCACCTGGAAGCCATCCCTATGATGGCTTTTAGGAATACACCTATCCAGGTACTGATTATTTGGCCCTCTTCAGCTCCTTTCCCGCTCTCCTCCCTCAAAGTTTGGGGAGCCACTTTGAGGAACCTGGGCGGGATGTGTGCAGTCCTCTGGTGAGACCATTTTAAAGCAAACAGTGGGATGCTTTTGGGCCCATTGGTCCCTTGAGCCTGACCTGCAGCAGCAAGCTAGAGAGGGTTGTCAACATGCTGTCTGCACAGTTGTAACCTGAGTGTCCTTCCTTTACAGGAGCCGGAGCAGTGACTTAGACCTGAGCGCATCCCTGTGGGGAGAAGAGAACTCGTGTCTGTCCCTCAGGAATACTGCGTGCCCTGGAGTAAGCTGACATGCTTCTGTAACAGTGTTATCAGTAATGCCTGAAACTCCAGCACACTGTTTATGTATTTGAAACCAAGTCTGTTTCTTGTTTTGTATTTTCTCTCTGGAAACTGCAAGGAGGTGGTCTTAGAAGAAATAAATGAAACGAAAATCGGCAGTCCAGCACGTTGCCTGCGTTTCTTTGCCTTTGGTCTCTGAGCGTGGGGAGACTGCGTGTGAACTGCCAGCAGCTGTTGCCGCTGTCCCAGCCTCCCTGAGAGCTTCCTGAACCCCCCGCCCTTGTGCATGTCTCCCCACTTGCCCCCTAATGTGTAGTTTCCACAACTGCTTCCACCTCGTAACTCGGAGGTTGGAGGTTGCTGTTGCACTGTCCGAGGAAGACGACGCATGTCTTGAGGAGCCTTGCCTTTCTGCAGCAGCTCTTTAAGATCTGTCTGTTCTCAGCAGTGGACCTGGCAGGGCACTAGCTGTGCCTGCTGCACTGAGGTCACACAGCTGGTTGTATTGGCAGGGGATGGAACCTGACTGTGCCCATGGCTCGCTCCACTGATGTCACGGTTTCCCGCAGCTTTATGGAGCTTGCCACAGTCCAGGCTTCAGCACTGGGGGCTTTGTCCTGGGAGGTGGGGGCAGCTTGTGGCATACCCACCTGGCTAGAAGGCCGTATTTGGTTTGAGTTTCTCGTCACATAGCAGCTGAAGTTGGAGGACAGAAGAAGCACTTCTCATGCCCCTCTGTGAGTTTGTTCCTTTGGTTTCCCTTGAACCAGGGAGGCTGAACGCAAAGGTAGCATTGTAGCAGTTTCCTCTGAAAATGCACCGAACCCCAGAGCTTCATCTTTCACCTCTTATTTCTCTTCCTTTATAGTAAAATTAAGACGGGCAGAGCTTGATCCCACTTGTCCCTTTATCTGTAAATGTTGATTGAGCATCTAATGGATGAAAAGACAAGACATAAGGCCCTGCCTTCAAGGAGCTTAGAGTCTATGGGAAGATGCACATGCAAACTCTTGGCGCTGGAAGAGGAGGATGTAGACAGCACGCAGTGAACAAAGGAGAAGCGGCAACGAAGTCTCCCTGGGATGGCCTGGCAGAGGAGGCGATAACGTGGCCTGAGACTGGCAGTTGACTTGGACATTCCAGACAGACCAGGAAGAGGAGGAAGGTAGCTTCTGTGAAGGCTCGGGATCGCGGCAGTGCGTGTTAGAGTTGGGAAACCACGAGTAGGCCCGTATAGCCAGAGCGTGCCGGGGCGAGGGAGTGGTGTGGAGGATGAGGCTGGGCACCAGGGCGGGGCTAGTGTCTGACCCCCGTTCTGGAACACCGATTAGACAGTTCTTGCAAGTGTTGGAATGAGTAGATTCAGGTAGAAATACTCCCTCGTTTTTCCCTCCCTCATCCTTCACTCTACTCCACTTTCCAGAAAGGTAGCTAAGCTCTGGACCAGAGCAGGCAACAGTGGCTCTCTGCCCTGCAAACTGTCCACGCTCCTCTGCTCTCTGGGCTTTTCTGTGTCTTTGCACCAGTTAAAGCCCAAAGATAGGCCTGACCCAGGACTGCAAGTCATGGCTGTGGCTCGCCATAGCCACTCAGCTGTTTGTCACGTTGCCCTCTTTATTCCATGATCAAGGCAGCCCATGAAATTAAAAGAAAAATAACCTTGCAACCTGTTTCATCCTTTACACTTCTCTTCTCATATTTGTTTTAAAAGTTAATATTTCCCCCCAATTTTTCCATCTTTATCCAGGCAGAGAGAAGAATAATAGGTCCTCTTCCAAAAACGACAAGAACAGAAAACACAACATGCCCATTCTCTAGATGTGTCAGAAGAATATGGAAAGGGACCCTGGAATCAGACTTCGCTCTCATTAGTTATTAGCTTTTAGGCATTTATTTGGATGGATCCCTTTGCCCAGCATCTTTGAAACACCACTTATGTGTTTTGAGAAACTGGTCGGCTCTGTGAGGGAACAGCTCTGGGCAAAGGCCAGCCAGAGGAAGCATTGGCTGTTTGCTTTAATTCCAGAGTAGTTTGTATTCCCGCCTTGTAGCTCTTAGCAGAGCCTAGCCCAAAGCACAATGCTTGATCTTGTCCCTACTCCCTGCCCCCATCTCAAATCAACCTTCAGAAAGTTCGAGCTTGTTGGCAAAGGCACACATTCTGTTCTACTTTAAGTTTCATTAGAAATTCAAGTCCTCCAGGGCCCTGGGCCCTTGTGGGGTTGTGAGACTGACTTTGCTTCTTGTCTGCCCTTCTGGAACCAAATACAAGGAGGTTCCTGGGTTTGGGGAGAGAGTGATAGGAACCCAACTGGGCACAGGATGCGCGGGTAAAGCTGTGGCGCCCCAGAAGTGGCCTGCTCTGCCAACATACATAAATACATACAGTCTGAGCTTGACAATGTATAATTTGGCCCAGAACAATATGTATTTTGAACTTATTTAGGTGAATGACTCTGACATTCCAAGTCCCCACTGGGGGAGCCTTTATCAGGCTGCGTTGCCTTATGCAGAAGTATGCCTTTGTTCTGAGAAACGGCCTCAGAAACACACTCTGCTGAGCTGTCTCCTTTAGTGAGTGTCCTCCTCTCTCCCTTTCAAAAGATCTGAGGATGCAGTCTTGAAATCTGCTTGTAGGAAATGCAGAGATTGGGAAGGAAGGATATATCTATGTAGTTTTGTTTTTAGTTTTCCCAAACCTCACTGTTTACATTTTTTTTTATGTAACCAAGCCATAATTACATTTTGCTTGTCGTGGTTCAATCTGATTGTATTGTTGAAGGACTATTTTTGAACCTGTCCAAATAAACTCTGCAAAGTGTTTCCACAAGGATGAACTCCATGGGGTTGGAACAGCCTTCGTGCTGAATGATCCTGAGACACAAATGGTTTCCTGTTGCATGTTTTCTAATTACATAAATGCAAAGGGGTGGAAGGGAGAAAGTGGAAATTCTAAGTACCAAAAGGAATGTTAAATTTAGAATAGCAAGCTCATCTGGAAGCTATCACTACTTTTTCTTTAAGTGCGCTGCAAGTACCATTTTCCCTTGGACACCAAAGGATGGTGTCGGGGTAAGCAGACCTGGGCAGGGGCAGGGCAGGCGTTCCCATGTTCTCTGAGCAGCCTATGTGTGGAACAAGTGTGAGAGTCAGTGATAGCTCTTTAGGCGGTAACGTGCCTCAGAGGAAGAGGACAGACCAGGAACAAGGGAGAGGCAGGGTTGTGCAGCGGGAAGAGCATAGGATTTGGAGTCAGAGTCAGAGGGACCTGGGTCCCAGTCTACTCCACCACTTACTTGCCGTGTGCCCGTGGGGGGGTTCCTTAATCTCTTAATCGCTTCAAACATCAGTTTCCTCATCTGTAAAGGGAGAAAGAATAATTCCTACCTTATAGACTTTGAGGGTCTGTGTTGCTATTTGAATCAGAATAGCGTGCATGGTATTAATGGAAGGTAGGCAGGGGACTGTTCTAGAACAGAAAGAGGGCGTAATCCTTGGGCTCAAGGAGTTGGCTCTTAGAGTCTAAATCAGCAAGCTCTGAGGGAGAGAATAGGTGTCCCAAATGAGTTCCTGGTAATAAACTAAAAATCGTTGAAAACATTATGCATCTTTATGAGTCAGGATTGATGTCATTTGTTTCCACGCTACTCCATTGAGATACACACGAGTAAAGCCATTGTGGCTTCTCCCCTTCTGAAACTCCACCCCAGCTTTTTAAAAATCAGAGTAGCTTACTGAGCACATGCTTTCAGTGCTAGGCCAGGAAGGGAAGGGGGAAGAGGACACTGAAGAAATAAACTGGAAAGCCAAGAACTCAGGGAGCTTCTGGTATGATAGGAAACAGGCCAATGGCAGAATGTTTGCATTCAGGATAATGGCCTTTATTTGCGTGATCCTCACAGAGCCAGAAGATGTAAGTGGGGGAAGACGATGTCAAGAATTTTTGGAGGAATTCAGGAGTGGGCAGAAAATGAATCTTTAATAGGGAAGAGACTGGGACTAGAAAAAGGAGCTCATTATCAACTGTCAGTCAAGTCATCCTTCTCTGTTCCTGGTCTAGCCAGTTTGAGCCAGGCAGAACTTAATTTGATCATTCAAATGAATATATAATAATAGGATTTATTGGGTGCATACTCCGTGCTACTTACTGTTCCAAGGCTTTATGGATATCATGATGCTTAATTTTACAACAATCATTTTATAGATGAAGGAACAGATTTTGAAAGGATAAATTAACTTGCCCAAGGACAAACAGCTAAGAGGTGATACCGGTGGGATTTTCACCTGATTCCACAACCTGTTCTTAACTCCTCTGCCCTTCTGGTGAAAAGCTATTTAAACTGGGAAGAATCGTTCAAAGTGGTTTGATCCAGTTTAAACCTGATTCGATACAAACTTGATTGAAGTCATTGAAATTGATCAGAGTCAGTTGCATTGAGTTTAAATTGATAAAAAACAAGTTGATCCAATTTGAAATCAGCCATATTAAAAAAAATAATTCCTGTGTTTATTAATCAGAAACATAATTGTCAATCAGAGCTTCAGGTCGGAGTTACTGATGAGTTTTGTTAAATCTTTACAAATGTAATAAAGCATCATGACATTTTATCGACCTATGCATCTTCAAAACTATATATACTTTTCAATTAGGTTTTTTTAAGGCATAATTTACAGACAGTAAAATGCACCCATCGGTAGGTAGAAAATGGAAACCCTTTTTCTAGTGTATACCTTTCGTATACCTTTAGTGTATACCTTATTACCTTTTGACTTTACTTTTAAAGGGTTAAATTTTTTTGTAATTTTTTATTTTGCTATAATTTTACTTACAGAAAAGTTGTGAAAATAATACAAAGAACACCTTTGTACACTTTACCCATATTCACCAATTGTTCACATTTTCCTTATTTACTGTATCATTCTGTGTGGATGTGTAGTATTTTTGAGCCATTTGAGAGTAAGTTGGAGATGTGCCCATTTACCCCCTAAATACTTCAGTGTATATTTTCTAAAAATAAGGACATTCTCTTATATAATAATAGTGCAATTATCAAAATTCAGGAAATTAGCATTGATACAATAGTATTAGCTAATCCCACAGTACATATTCAAATTTTGCAAATTGTCCAAATAATGTGTAGCTGTTTCCCGCAGTCCAGGATCATG